TTAGACTAGGCATGTAAGTATGGTGCAGGGAACTGTGTTGGCTTTAGGCAATCTCAACTGTAGTACATACTTATGTTTCCTTGCTTAGAAAAGAAGTGTTTTGTTAGCATTCACTCTCTTTGTATTAAACATTTAATGTTTTGTAGTATGAAGTCAGTAGCATGAAGTTTTATATTTTCATTGTAATTTGAACTTTTTGATTGTATATTACCTAGCAATATCATTTGTGGTCTGGAAGTAAGCTCCTTTAGTATTACATTTAATAGTAAATATGGGAAATAAAGTGATATTTTATCAGTGATGGCTATGTGATCTTCTACATTGACTTGAAGAAGAAAGACTGATCCTAAAGCAATTTGTTTTGCCCACAACAGGACCCACTGTTTGTAGGGCTTCTGGGGAGGGAATCTTAACCATATTGTGCCAGGAGATGAGAGCCCTCTGGAAACAAAGTTCAAGCTTTGCCTCCACCACCACCCTGCCTCCAGTAGAAAGGTATATCTTCTATATATTATTTGGTTTTAATATGTATGCTAACATAAAGCTCACCAGAAGTTCCACTGCTGTCATGTTTATAACATCTTGGGAAAATACTGTCATTGAGATCTAGCATGTTTTATCACCAGTTTTCCTGTAGTTGAATGGGGATATATATATATATATATACATATGTCCATTGTCTTTACATTTTTCTACAATAATAGTTTGATGGTATTTTAGAGACAGTTGGTAAGACAGTTTCAAAGATAATTCTCTTGAATAAGAGGCCATTCACTCCCTGAGTGTGCCACACAGATGTTTTTCTTCTTTGGGTTGGGAGGCAATAACTGTTTCATCTTGTCTGCCATGTCCTATGACTGTTACACTGCCATCCACAAGCCCCTGCCCTACCCAATTCTGATGACTCAAAAGATCTGCTTCCAGCTCATCATGGCCTTTGGTGTGCTTGGTTTCTCAGTTTCTCTGTGCATTGTCATCATAATATCCAACTTGTCTTTTTGTAATTCCAACATCATTCAGCACTTTTTTGTGATATTGAGCCTGTGGTCTCCCTTGCCTGTAATTACATCTTTTATCAGAAAATGATTCTTCTTGCATTCACTGCCTTTGTGTTGGTGGGCAGCTTTATTTTGATCATGGTTTCTTATGTCTTCATTGTGACAGTAGTTGTGAAGTTGCCCTCTGCCAAGGGAAGGTATAAGACTTTTTCAACTTGCTCTGCCCACTTCACTGTGGTTTTCTTACATTACGGGTTTGCTTGCTTTGTCTATTTGAGGTCCAAGAACAGTGACTCTTTCAGGGATGACACACCCTTGGCAGTGACATACACCGTTCTGACACCTCTGCTCATTTACAGTCTAAGAAACAAAGACATGCAGACAACTCTAAGAAAAGACCTAAGCAATGTAATCAAGACTTTCCCAAAAATTATAAATAAAAGATCCCAAAAGATTTGAAAAATGTGTATGATGTTAGGCGGGAAAATGTTATACTTAATGATTAAAATTGTTATTTCATGAGAAAAAAATATGGAACAGTTCTGTAAATACAGCTGTTGAGAGAGCTATTATTCTACATAGTGACCCTCATGATTTCTACTCTTTTTACCTTTTTTCTTGTATCAACATTTCCCCAATTTTAGCCTTTAGAAGAATGTCACATTGTAATTACAGCATCTATTTCCATAAAACCTTCGCATGTGCATGATGACTAAAAATCAAATGGGGTTTATTTCTGAACATTCCACAGGTCATAAATTCATATTACATAATGGCCAGGACCCAGAATTATTGTGTAATTCCCTCCCCTGATAATGCGATTGATGACTGACTTATATGCCACCCGATAGCACTTATCCAGCAGCTGGTGGAAGTAGAAGGTGACACCCACAAATAATCACTGAATTGAACTGGTATCCAGTTGCAGAGAAGGATGGGTGATGAGCAACAGGGTTCAAACCAGGCTGGTGAAAACCACAGAAACAGCTGACTTGAACATAGGGGAAACTCTTTCTCCCCAGACTAATAGCTGGGATACCAGCATGAGACTGATCCAGACCCCAGGAACATGGGTTTCAGTGAGGAAACCTCGAAAATCTACGGGACATGCTGTCGTAGTTCAGTACTTATCCCTAGCATAGATGTGGACTTTGGGAGCTCATTCCACATAGAAGAATACTCCCTGAGCCAAGACACATGGGGGTGGGCCTAGGCCCTATCTCTCAAGGGATATGATAGACACTGGTGACACCCTATGGAAGGCCTCACCATCCAGGGGGAGCAGAAAGGATATGTGATAGGTAGGGTTTTAGTTGGGAGGGTATTAGGGGAGGACGGGGGGGGGAGGGAGGGAAGTGGGATTGTCTTGTTTCTAATTCAAATAAAAATCTGCAAAAATTATGAATTACAAAAAAAAGTAAAACCCTGTCTTGAAAAACCAATACCCAAAGAAAAAAACAAGTACAACAAAGCAACCTGCCTACTACTTAACAAATACCTGAGGAAAAATACATAACAAAATATGACCACATATATAGTGTGTTTTTACAAACAAAGTTTTAATTGTAAACTACTACATGAATATAAGAATAGACAGTGCTACAAGTCACCTGAAAATACACAAAGAAAAATATTTACAGATTCTATATCACTTCAAGTTGTAAAGATATGATGAATCTCATAGGGATATCATATCTTTCTCAGGTACCACAAGTTTAAATGTTTTTATCATATGCAGAAAACACGAATCATAGATTTTAACACCATGTATTTACTGACATAATTCTACTCCCTTTCAAACACACCTTTTTACAAAGATCAGGTACACCTGAGTGCATGTTCAATGTATATAATATACCTGCCTCCTGCTTATCTGTACACAATGATTCCAAGTTCTTGTTCAATTGTAATTAAGAAACATTCTGAGATACTGCAATGTTGTTGGTTTCCCAACTGTGAGTTGAACAGTGTGTGTGTGTGTGTGTGTGTGTCTGTCCGTCTGTCTGTGTGTCTGTCTGTCTTTGCTTTTGTGTTATTTTATTATAGGCATTATAGGCTTCATTTAGAAGCATGATGCATATGCTCCTGCACTGTACCTAATTTAAAAGCTCTCTTCCTGAGGAACAGCTTCCATGGCATATGAATTGCTTATGCAAGCTTCCAAAGGTGAGAACCAATCAACAATCCTACTACTTATGAATCCTGTAAACCAGAATTATGATCATCGTGTCAAAATAATCTTAAGCGAATAGTGATATCAAGAACTCTCTAATTGAACTTCAGACCTACTCAAGAAGAGAGAAATCATCCATCGCTATAACCAGAAACATGTCATGATATTTACGTGCAGTGATGTTATGAATCTTAAGGAGAATCAATGAATAATAAATTAGTAAACCAGCAGAATGCCTAACATCCTAAATACCTGTCTATTATTCACATATATCTTTAGTCACCCCCCCATTCCATGACATTTGTGTTTGCATCAGAAACTATTTCCTACTAGGACAATATACTATGCATAGCTGTGGAAGGGAATCCCAATGGACACATCTACAGTACAACTCTTGAACCTAAGGCTGAGGAATCATATTGAAGGGGAGGATGTATAAAAGGTAGAAGATCTGGCAGACTGATACAATATTGTATCTTCTATGAGTGTCAGAATCTAAACACACCACGTTTCAACAAGTTCAGAGCCTAAACATGAATTGAAAAAAAAGACATTTGTAATAGATATGTTATCACTGAAGAGATAAACTGTGGTAGAATATTATAGTAATGTGTGTGATGTACGTTTATGCTTCATTTGTTTAACTCTGTGAAACAGTTTTTCTGTACCTGTCTAAAACACCTGGTGGTCTAACAAAGAGCTGAATGGCTAATAGTGAGGCAAAAGAAAGGATAGGCAACACTGGCCAGCAGAGATTATAAAGACAAGGAGAAAAGAGGAAAAGCCGAGGAAATGTGCGAGGAGAAGAGGAGAACAATTGGGGCCAGGCACCCAGCCACCCAGACAACCACAGGGTAAGATGGAAAGTAAGATATACAGGATTCAAAAAGATAAAATCCCAGAAGGTAAAGGTAGAAGGATTAATTAAAGTTAAGAAGAGCTGGCTAGAAACAAACCAAGTTAAGGCTGGGCATCCATAAGTAAGAGTAACACTCCATGTGTGATTTACTTGGGAGCTGAGTGAGGTCCCTGCCCTAAAAAGAGTCAAAAGGCCTAAAGAGTGAAAATGATTTGAAACAATACAAATTCACATAAGGTCTCAAACCTACACCCAGAAGTGCAAGTAATTAAGTAATAATGAGAGTGAGAGGAATAGTACACCAACTGGATATTCAGTATCAAATGATCTGATATTGTACCAAGTTAGCCATCACATGTTGCATCATCAAAATTTCTTCCTAGAAGGAAAAACATCTAAGCTAATTGGAAGAAGACAGTGAAGATGAGAAAGATACATATGATTTTAAGGAGCGTGTATAAAGAGGGAACATGGCTCCCTGAGAACTGCACCTGCCCTAGATGGGACTATGAGGAAGAAAAGGGTGATGGGACTGATGAGAGCTAACATGACTTTATTGCTATAGGTCTATGCATATCATCATGGTATCAATTTGTAATAACAGTCCTCAAATCACATTTCTTTATAAAGTGCCCTCACCCCAGTTACATGTCTCAATACCTTTCACTTTGCCCTTGGCTCTGACACTGTTCCTATAAATATAAAAGGAAAAATGATCATATGAAATTTCCTCTGAAAGGACTGCACCCTCATGTAAATTTTTTAGGTATTTGTCCAGTTCTCCATGCCAAGCACAGCATTGCACTATTCAAACTCATCCTCAGGATTTTTTGTAGTCCCCATCCCCTACAACTACCCAACTACCACAAGTGCTGTTAAAATACATCCCCTCATGGAGAGATGTAAGTAATATCTACCACTCCTCCTAAGGTACTAATAACAAAGTAACTCACAGACCCAACAAATCCACTCTTTGGAACCAACTGAGTTTACTGGGCTAATAACAGAGCATCGGTTGCTCACTGGAATGAGGCTTCCATCCAAAGGCTTAACCCGAACAATTTTTTTCCAACACAGATGGTGAATTTCTCACAGCTCCTTCACTGGTCTATATGATGTTTCAACTGTCCTCCTCCTGGTGTACAAGTGCAGTAAGGAAAGAATAGCATAAAACTGGTGGCAGGGAATCACTAGATATTCACATACAAGTCATGTGACACTCCTTGAATTTCTATGAGGATATGGAAATAATCACCAAGCCCAGATGAGCTGATCTTATGTAAGCTGGCAGAGCTGAACTCAACACGATAGTGAACAGGCCAGGAATATGAAAAAAGGTATGCTTATAGAGTATATACACATTTCTGACTGTATTAAGACTGACAGCTGCTTTGACCCTATGTGCTACAATCTCCCAGTCAAGGGAAAGACAATTTATTTATTAATGTATTCATTTATCTTGACTCAGAAATTTAATGTTTAGCACTCTAAGTAGGCCACAACTATTTCTGGCATCTACACAGCATGGTACATATTTTTATTTGGGAAAAAGTTGCTTTTATTATGATTAGAAACAAGCTTCTTTCACATATCAATCCAAGTTCCTTCTCCTTCTCACCTCCCCTCCCCTCCTCTCCTGCTCCCCACCACCATCCCAAACCCTTTCTGCTCCCCAAGGAAGGTGAGGCCTCAACTTCCTTGGGGAATCTTCAAAGTCTGGGGGAAAGCAATTTAAATGAACCCTCAACTATGTAAAAGTTTGAACTAATCCCCTGTAAACAGAAGTCATCAATTTTGATCCCCCTCTGATCTCAGAGATGCCTGGAGAATGCTGCTGTAAATCCCTTAGCTCAAGTCTGGAGATACCCACAGGAAGCAACTTTTATGACTACTTACAATGTCACCATCGGCCTATAGGGACTTATCCAAAAATTTTTCTTTATCCCAATGCACACTGCCTTTTAAAATTTAGGTAATTCCCATATGTAGAAAACACCGAAATTTCCTTTCTTAAAGGTTACTGACAATAGGTATCCCAATAGGTAAAATGACAGCCTAGGAGACACAATGTTTGTTGGTGGTAATCAGACTGATCCAAGCTTTCTCAGAGGCCATGATGAAAAAAATAAAGATAATGTTAATTCTATATATGTCTCCTGAAAGAGACTCAACAGCATCCAGTAGGGGGATGGGGTCTGGGTCTCTATTTCCTAAATATTCTGACTTCAGGGAACCTAACTTTCTCCTGACAATGTTTGGCTATCTGTCCTAATGCAGCTTTGTCTAAGGTATCCTGTGTTCACTCTGCCAACATTCTTTTATTTATCTTTCTGCTGGTCTTAGCCCATTATCCTCCTACAATAATGACAGAGGATGATGCACTTCTTAATAAACTTTCTTGGCATAAGTCATCAGTTTATACAAGAACTTGTGGTTCCAGATATATCTTTTCATTATTTTTCATTAGCATTTTTCATTGACACATCACATTTTGAGATCCATATTCCTGTGTGTCCTGGAAAATTGGTACATAGACATGAAACTCAATTACAGCAGAAATCATCTAGTGTGAGTTCAACAGTGGTAAGTATATAAAATCACTGAGACTATGAGACTAAAAGAAAGGGAGGATTGGAATGACCAGGATTAAAATATAGTATAGCTGGATTATAAAAGCACTCCTGTTGTTCATTTCTGCACATCAGGTTTTACTAGGTAAATTATCTAAACCTAATTCCCTGAATCACATTTTAGGTGGTAGTTAGGCTAGTGAGACCCCTCTATTAATGCAGAGCAGACACTGATGGCAAATTTTTCTGTGCAGTTTGGACCTAAAAGCTGATTCTGCAATGTGGTAATTTGACCTCCCCACATCAGACTCTGTGTTTTCTTAAAATGATGTCTTCCAAAATCCTCAAATGGGTCAGAATAGCTCTCTGACTATGTTACTGAATCTAGAACAAAACAACCTAAGATATTATTTACAAAAGGTCAAAACTATAACTGACTAAGTAACATATTTTAGAGACACTTAAAAGATTTCTCTATCTCCCATCTCCTCCAACCACCATATCAAGTACAAATGGGCTTATCTTCCCTTAGCTGAATATGTTTATTGTGTAAGTTTAATATCGTCGTTTTTATTTAATTGATACACTTTTACATCATGATAAACAGACCAGCAGAGAGACTGTGGTTGGCTATTGAACTATAGTTATGGTATTTTCTGAAAGCATTCTTAATATCTTAATCACTAAAACTATTTCTGGGTAAAAACTTGTCTCTGCTCATTTAGAAGAGAAATAAATTCCTAAGATAAAGTGGTCTCTGGACCAGCCATAAATTCCTCTACAATTGGTGCTGATCTACAAACTCGAGGTTAATTCCTGCTCCACTGCTTGCAACAGTAAATCGAGACTCCATTAGACTTTTTTCAGATATATTGGGAGATTTCCTTTTATGTATCCCATAACAATATCTATCACTTTGAAACTAAAAGATTTAAACAACAAGAGCAACAAAAATCATAGTATAAATACAACTGCTGGTACTAAAAATCTGCTCAGTTTGGCTCACTTGATTCTTCATGTCTAAAGAGATGAGTGTCCATGTTTCAGGACATTTTTTTTCTTTGGGATAATTGCTTTAGGTAAAATGTCTTAACCATTAAATATGACATATATATATGCATATATATATAAACACTTTATATATATAAACACAAACATTTAAAGGAATTTAAACAAATTCTGAACTCATAGAGCTCTTTAAATATGAATTATAATCAAACATGTTTATATTTTAGGATCTAATACAAATCTACTTATCTATCAACTGAATTAAATAACTTCTATCTTCCTGTATTCAGCAGTGCCTCCCTATATTGTTCAAAATAAAACTTATTAAATATTTTTACTCCTTCACAATTAACAGGATGGACACACCAACCAAATCAATTTTGTTTAAAAATAAAAAACAAGAGTTCTCTGTTTATAACTATATTATCTCATGGTATGAAAAATAATTAATATTTATTTAATTATAATCATAAAATGAAAAAATAAATATATGAAGTTAAGAGAAGAATTTATTAAGTTAGGAGTTATATACAAAACAATAAAAATGGGATTTATGTATGAAGACTCAGAATAATTTATGCTCATGGAAACCTGGATGGTTTTTGAGTTGTGAAGCACAGAATGAGTTATTTAAGTTATATAGAAGATGATATAAGGTACCAAGAGCATGAGACTTAAAGGTAGTATCAATGATACCAACATTTTTACGGTTTAACATCAACAGTTACAAAACTGTCTATTATATATATCAAATTAAAGTTCATTTAAAAATAGCTGGCTATTATAATATTATATGATAGGTAAAAGTATCAGAATGCTGTATCTGATTCTCTTGATGTTCCTCATATAGTGCCTTACACTGTTCTGTTTTGTTGTAATGGGATATCATTCACCATTCCTACTTGTTTGTCATCGGTAGGTCATTATGGATGTGTCTCTCTCAGCTGAGTGATGTATAAAGGTTATGTCTTTGCCATACATGAGGGATCTGATGTACAGTTTATTATAATCACATCAACCATTCATCACTTGAGTTTTTCAGTCTCTAATCCCTCACAAGTTACCCCATTTGAAAAACATTTCTTTGTATTCTGTTTGAGTCTGGTGCTCCTGTTTGAGAACAAAGTCCCTTACACCTTCAGGTGACAAGCTTCATGGTTCTTTCTCTCCTTGCCTCTATGCATCAGCAACTCTGTGCCTCTGACTGAACAACCTGAGGTGAAGGGCAACTTGTCTTGAAGGCACTAACCTGGTATGGATAAAGATAAATTCGTAGAACATCCTCACTCTCTATGTCATGTCATATTATTTCCAAGAAAATGGTTTTACCAGACATTTGCTGTTAGCCACAAACCTGGACAATTTGTTCACCATTGAGATTTTGGAGAAAATAAGTATGACATAGACCTCATTTCACATTTGACTAACTGCCTGATTTAACCATCCATATATGTATCACTGACTGGAAGTTCCTAAATTCACAGTGACGTGTGTTCCATCACAATTATTTGGATCTGTTATATCCTATTTAATGTGTTAACTTGCCCTCTGTTCATAAAAGCCATCTCTTGCTTCTTCAGCCTTTCTTTGTATGTTTTGTGCCTCTTAATGATACATAGTATGGTGATTTTGGACAACAGGTTCTCCTTGAGCTGCATCCAACTCTTACAAAAAGGAAGAGATAACTAGGTCTTATTGTAACATGCATTTTTGAAGTAGTCATGGCATTTGTAGCTGCATGCACAGTATGCCTTACACATCAAATGCAAATTGTCCATTTTATTAAACAGCTTGCTTATAATACTTCTGGAATTTTGACAATACAAAACACAGGTATGCAAATAAAATATACTAAGTTACATGGTTTAGAAGTTATGGTATTACACCAAGGAGATACAGTACAAGCAAAACAATATCAATAAACTTGACAGTGTTATACGTCTTTGTGTTTGTGTTAATGGGTCTTCTCTGTGCTATGTTAATTATGTATCTGTGTTAATCCTTTAAGGTACAATGAAGATTTAAAAATGATAAAATTGAAAATCATTTGCTGGTTATATGGCTTCATGGTAATGTTACAATAGAGTTATTAACAATAAGGCTATTAGTTACCAATATGGTACATATTCATCTTGGATTCAGTTATCCTCTGAAGCTACACAAATGTTTATTATAGCAGCTCAGAGATGGCATGCCTTTTTATATCCTTCAACATTCATTTAGTTTAGTATTATCTTCTAATTACTTGTGTTAATGATTCTTTGGCAATATTCTGAGATATTTGTTGGTTAAAATGTGTCAGGTCTCTTAGCCATTCAAACAAAAATAATTCATCTGGACTTAATATATTACTCAAGGAGAATAGTAGGAAGTCAGAAGTTTCTGAGGCCTTCACAGTAGAACTTATAAAAGTACAAGGAGGACATTAGTTCTATGTCCTTGTCCAGAAACAGATGTGTAGGTTGGGTCTGGGACTAGAACCTAGGTGTCAAAGGATTTAAGGTTTTGATTCCAGGGAAATAGGCTTTTTCCTCTGATTATCTGTGGTTGTCAGTCCTATAACAGCTGTATCTGAGGCAACACTTGTTTTCTTTGGCAACATTCTCTGATTTAGCATTCTACTGACCATGGCTAATTCTCCCTGTAAATAGTATATAAGATGCTGTACTTTTTAATAAATTTTCTTGAAATGATTATCAGCTCTGTAAAACCTATAGTGCCAGATATATGTCTTCTTTATTTCTCACCCCTGTACTTCCTCTTTAAAACACAATCTTGCAGGACCCTCACTCCTATGGGTTTGAGTCAGCTCCTGACTATCAATCTGTAAAACAAAAGAAGATACATTCGAGTATTTTCTAAATCTCTGTCTCTCTAAACCTCTCTCTCTCTCTCTCTCTTCCTGTGGGAATTTTAGTTACATGGCTGTGAGTGTAGTCATGGGAAGAAGGAATAGATTGTTTCGATTCCTGCCTCTTTCCCATGTGAAATTTTAATACCTAGTACTCTCAACACATCACTTTCCTTACCTTTCCTGTATAAAATCCTTCAATCAAAATGTCCTCTGGAGTAAACATTCTGTTTGACTCATTTTGCTCATACTGAAATTAAGTAATCAATATCATTAATATCATTATACAGGGGAGGGCATTTAAGGTAGTCTCTAGTCTGTTGCTTAGATTGTTAGCTTGCGTCAACTTTGTAGCTCTCCTAAGATTAATGACTGACTTATATGCCACCTGATAGCCCCCATCTAGCAGCTAGTGGAAGTAGAAGCAGACACCAACAACTAATCACCAAACTAAACTGGAACCCAGATGTAGAGAAGAACCAGTGAAGATGTTCCCTTGAACATTTGGGAACTCTTGCTCCCCAGACTAATAGCTGGGATACCAGCATGAGAGTGATCCAGACACCAAGAACATGGGTTTCTGTGAGGAAACTTTGGAAATCTACGGGACCTCCTGTAGTAGTTCAGTACTTATCCCTAGCATAGGTGTGGACTTTGGGAGCCCATTCCACATAGAGGAATACTCCCTGAGCCAGGACACATGGGTGTGGGCCTAGGCCCTATCTCAAAAGATACAATAAACTCTGATGACACCCTATGGAAGGCCTCACCATTCAGGGGGAGCAGAAAGGACACGTGATACGTAGGGTTTTAGTCTGGTGGGTGGTAGGGGAGGACGGAAGGGAGAAGGGAAGTGGGATTGTCATGTAAAATAATCTTGTTTCTAATTCAAATAAAAAAATCAATAAATAAAAAAGAAAAAAATGTAAGCATGCAAAGAATGACTGAATCAATAATGCATTACATTCATCTTTACTCCAGAGAATATTGAATGCTCAGCTTTTCAGGTCACAAGAACTGGAATATGAAAACAAAAAATGTCATTATAGAGTGCCCAGTGCATGATGGGACAAACAGAAAAGCAGCCAGAAAGGAAAGAAAGAATATGCTCTCTAATGGAGAAAAACAAGCTGGATTTGTTAGCAGAAAGAGCAGTAAGACCCAGGGGCCATTTATATGCCATCCTAACAGGATGATCCCTCCTTATTTCTATTTGTTATTTTTAGCTGGTGTTTTCTAGTTTTTGACCCTGGCAAGGAGCATATTGACAAAACTCTCCCAAGTCTAGTAATCTTACTGCTAGAGACCTATGACTAGGAAAACTCTTGTATATCTTTTACAAACTAGTAAACATACTTTCTGTATAAACTGACTGTTGCAGAGCAGAGGAACTTCCTGGATGTTTAAGTCAGCTTTCTATTACTCAGTCACATTATTAGGCAGCACAGTTAGCACCTGAGAGAAATAATCTCCCCCCTGGCCGCCTCTCTCTCTCTCTCTGTCTCTCTCTCTGTCTCTGATT